GGTTTTTTTTGCATGCCCATTGTGTAAACATTTCACCTTGTGACTGGTTGCCCAGTGGCAGCTTACAGGTCAGGGTACTGGGGACAGGAGGCGGCAGGATGCACACCCTATGGGAGTAGCTGTGGGGGCCACTCATGGCCCGAAATGCCAGAGATGAAGCAGGGATGGAGACAGGAATGGGGTAACTCTTTAAGTTTGCTCTAAAGGAAGAAATACACGGGAGTCCCTCTGCAGCCACGTTCATGCCCCACCAGGAGGCCTGACGGAATGAGCTTTCACCAGCGGCTCTCAAGCTCAGCCCCAGGCCTTTATGGCGTCCACGCCTCAGTGGTCCTTGCCCCAGCACCGATCCTCGGCCGGGCTGAAGCTGCTCCGGGAGCCTTTGGTCCCACCGTGTGGACAGACAGCTTCCCTGTCCGGCCTCCAGATGTCGCTGCCTTAGTAAGAGACGCAGTTTCACCCACAGTCCAGCAGGGTGCATTCCGGAATGGAAGGCTCACTCAGGCTTCCCCCCAAGGCGCCTGCTGTGGTTCTCTGGGCGCAGGAACAGAGGATGCTTTGGCTCCTGCTTTCCTCCTTTTAAGTCTTCCAGGACCCCGACAACGGTTAACATCTGAGGCTTGCTGAAGCGAGTTTTTTATTAGTCAATTTCCCTCCCCTAGGTGATGACTTTTAATTAATGGCAAATTTCTTAAAGACCAGCCAAAGGAGGAGGCACAAGAACACAACTGCGTCCAGGAGAGCTTTTATTTGTACGGAACAGTTTTAAAAATACAGAATAAAATAGCTTTATCTCTACTATTATTCACAACATCTGGTCCAAATATTACATATTTTTAAAATACTTAAACGTTTAATGAAGCCATGTTAGAAAAACAATATGAAAATTCTTTTTAAAAACTCCATAAAAGAATTACACATCTCAAAAAACAACCCCACCCCCAAATACCCTCGGTATGCAAAATAAAAATAAAAAACAAAGAAAATCCCCGAAAGGTAGAGAGCCAAAGTCAGTCACAAAAACTCAAGGAAAATATAGGCATCCCCACTCCTTTAAGAACAGTCAGAAATTTATTAATGTGTCAAACAAAGGTTATTACCAACGAACAGAAAAGGGTATCAACTTGAACTGTCAGTAAGACGGCAACACTGGTGAGGGTGCCCTACATGCCAGGAAACAAACACAGCACGTCTAAGGACGCTGGATGTGGCTCCTGTGGAGTGAGGACGAGGCACGGTCAAGAACAACCTCAAAGGGCAGGAATGTGTGTGAGGCTGCTGAAAAGGGGTGCCCAGCGCTAACGTGCTTTCCACGTCCACGGGTGGGAGCTGAATGCCTGCCACTGAGGGCGGTCTTCCTGCGCTACTCGGGATGTGACCGCAGGTCAAGTGGTGGGTGTCCAAATCCTAAGGGGACAGAGCACCACACGCACAGCGTGTGAAAACCCCAGGCGCTTCTGAGGCCAACCCCCCCACCCCCGAAGTCTCAGGCCCCACCCACAGCCACAGCTCGGCACGGCGACAGCATGGCCCGGCCCTGGCCAGGTACCGGAATGAGGCTTCTGCCACAGTCACCTATCCACCTTCCACCTGACCTGGCCACGCCTGCCACTTCGGTATTATGGAAGATTATAACTGCCAACTTCAAGTCGAAGTTGCCAGTACCGGTATTTCAGCAGGGCCGTGAACTAAAGAAGGAACGAGTTAGCTCATGGTGATAAAATAGACGCATGGGTAAATAAAGTATACACACATACTAGAGATTCATCAATGGAGAAATTCTATTATCACATGACATTGTCATGAAAATTATATCATTCCCTCCCTGGAAAACTGTGACTATTATCCTGGGTAGAAATGTTATTTTACTATATGGAAATACTGCAAGATTCATGCATAAACCAAGTCGTCATCATGAAAGTCATTATTCTACAGTATAAAGCAAATCCTGTGTGTGAATTTGTTACCATGAAAATGGGAAACCATCGGGACTCATGACGCTTCATTCTAGCTGGCCTGGTTAAGCCACTTCTCTTGCCCTCACCCATCACCAGAAACTTACTACAAGTTAACATCCGAAACCCTCTTAAGAGTCTGTATGAACCAATCTCAGCTTAATTCCCTAATGAGACAAAGACTGGAGCCATTTCCCATTATTCGGTCAACCATGTTAGATGTTTTATTAAAACCAGTGGTGGGATCTCCCTTGCCACCCACCGTGATGTGACAGCCATCTACTGTCCTTATAAATACTTTCTACTTCTCACGTCAAGTCCCCCAAGGTGAATGTAAAGATGGTGGGTAGGTGGTCACTATGGAAACTGGAGTCTGAATGCCCCGCCCAAGGACATTTACATCCCAAACCCTTTGAAACATTCTATTGGCCAAACAAAGCATGGTGGGTACCTGGCCCCAGTAGTGCAGGCCAACCATGGAAGTGGGAAGTGCACAGACGCAGACTAGGAACAGCCACTGTGTTCTCCCAAACCTCCCTTTCATGCGTGTGCTAAAGCCTAAGGAGCAGACGAATACCTATTTCTCTTGATTACAGACTCATTCTGTAGCGTATTTGCCAGCAGGAGGACCACTATCTAAAATGGCATTAATCATCAGGAGACTCCAATCACTCAAGCCGAGGTGAGTCTCACAGGCTGTGCAGAAAGTGCCAGGCTCAATGGGCCCTCTAGTCGGGCTGCCCTCTTTCCTCCCCACTTCCTGTACCCCCCTCCCCCTGCCTTAGGGAATCTAAAAGTTGGCCCCAATGGAACAAGAAGGGCGAAAACCCTCATTTCTAACAGAATGTGGGGGTACAGGGCTTCCCTCCACATTTAAAAGCTTGCAGAAGACATCCCCCAGACCAGCACACTTGGAACCACCCAATAAAACTGAGCCCAAGGAGGGGTTTTCAGAAGGGAGTGGGTTTCTGGATGTCTGAAGCATATCCTGAGGGTCACGCACTGGGAGGGAAGATGCCAGATTGAAAGTTAAGATTATCCAATGGTTCAGATGCTTTTATTTGGATATTTGGTCCTTCTGCTCCCCTAGAGAGCTAGAATCTCTGGCATGTTTAACAGTTTTCCCCACTTTTCAGAACAGAGAAATTAGAGATGCTGAGCAAAAAACCCAAATAGAAGAAAACTGAGAGCGACTCGGTGCAGGAGGGCCTTCGGCATTGAGTGCTTACCAAGTTAAAGGGATGAAAGTCGTTAACCAGTGTGCTTCTAAAGTTAACTATGCATCAGATACAATTTTTAAAAACATACAAAATTAAATGTAATTTAGAATCTTTTTTTTTTTTTTTTTTTTTTACTTAATCTGCAACCAGATCTTGGCAAACAATGCAGTGGCTGTAAAACTGTTCTTGCCAGAATACGCCTTGAAGCCCCAAACTTCCCAGGAGTCAGGGAGGCTAGGGGGACAATGCTGCTGCCAAGGACATCCCAGCGTGGTGGAGCAGAGCCAGCTGTGGGGGCAGCGGACTTATCCTGTGGACACAAGGCAGCTGAGAACCATGCCCTGCTGCCAGAGACAGGAACACCCGCGGCTGTCCAAGGCTCAACCAGGTCAAGGAGCCACCTAGGAAGCACCACCTCACACGGTGAGGTCGCTCCTTGGTGTTTCAGGGTTTTCCTTTGGCTGACAAATTTCAAACCAAATTCCACAGAAGTCATTTTTTCACAGAGGATTTAGTGTTATTAACAAGAACTGGACGGAAGGGGCCCTGCCAACTGCTTTTTGTCACCACCTTCTGCAATGACTTAAATAGGAAAGGTGCATTTGGCCAGGGGGTCTAATCTTCCCCTCTGCAAAATTAAGATCCAGTGGACACACAACATGACAACCCACACACAGTCTCCTTAAGCCTTAAGTGCCAGAAAAGACTCGAAACAGAACTGCAGTGATGAATTTACCAGGATGCCTGACCCTTCAACATGGCGGCTCTGTTGATTACCTGCCCCCAGCTTCCCTTCTTCACAAAACAAATTCACGTATAACTTAACCCATGGTTTCTGGGCTCTGGTCCAGTAGTCAGTTTTGATAAATAGATTAGGCATTACAGTATTTACACTTTCATGGTATCAAGCAATACAAAACACAACCACAATAATGGTTACTGGCCTTCAAAAGCCATGACGACAAGCTTCCCTGATGGTGTCCACAGCTTTACAAATGCTGGTTCTTTTCTTAAAGGGAGGTGAGGGGTAGGGGACAAGTAACAGGGATGCACGGTAAGAGAGTCACATGGAAAACACTGATTTCAAAAAACCTGCTATAGTCATAACATTAAATAGGAATAGAATCTTGTAATTTATAGACAAGCGCAACAGTAACCGACATCCACATGATAGCAGAGTCAAGACTCCCATACACATCTGCTTAGTGCCCTTGTGTGGCACTCTACCCATCACACCGGCCCAGAGTGACAAATGTCAGATAGAGTGTCTCAGTCAGAGTGACAAAGAAGCCTATGAGATGTGCTGGCCCACCGTGGGCCGGGGGCACCAAGATAGAGCAGCTGAAGACCAGATATGACTTCAGGTACTTCCCCTTTCCCTCCAATCCCCCAAACAGATGTCGGTTCTAGTAATACCTGTACAGAACTTACCCACGCACAGACATGGGCCGGGGGTAACCATGTCACGGTTTTCAATCAGGTCAGTAGCGTCCTCCTACAGGAGGATCAGGGAACACAGAATCACCTTTGACCCTCAGCTGTGACAGTGTGAGGAGACTGGTGTCCCTTGACCAGAGGGGGTCTCTGCGGGTTGCAGGCCGAAGTCAAATAAAACAGAAGCAGGTCCAGTGCTTCTGGGACAGAAAGCCCCTGAACCGTGGCAGCGGCTCGTGAGAAAGCTAACCCAGGGTGGTAGGAGGAGACCAAAACCAAGGAACCGCTGTGGATTTCAAACACCCACTCCCACAGGAGGATAGGAAGTTCAATGGATGCTCTCAAGGGCAAGGGGTAGGGCTTAAATAAGGAGACCAGTGAGACACGATAATAGACACGATCACCACCCACAACAAAAAAGCTATCTGTAATCGTCTTAGCCCTGGGTGCAGAAGGTAAATGCAGATATACAAACATATATGTTACTGCTTGTTACTCAGCAAGGAACTACAGCTTCATGCCTCACTGCGGCTGGGCCACAGGGTGACCTACAGCTATACCGTGGCCTGTGAGTCCTCATCCGAACTCCGGCTGGTGGCACTCTTCCCGAGGCCTTTCCACGTGTAGCCCACAAAGGTTGGGCTGATGGGTAAGTAGCTGAAGCATCTGTATTTTTTAATAATGTTCATGCCAAATGGCAAATCGTAGGATTCCATGCCATCGAGCGACTTGCTCCCTTTGCCCACACCCTTCTTCCATTTCCTGATTCCTCTTTCTTCTGGAGTACCTGCAACACACACACATACAGACACACGCACACACACAAAACAATGGAATAGAAGTTTAGCTTGACAGTTCCACCGAGAGTTGAGATGCCCAGTGTGCCGTCCCACATACGGAACCCGCCAGGACAGCAAGGAGCCCTTGTCAGGGAGTTGACGGCACTCGGCCATCCAGGTGCCTGAGCCAGAAATCTAAGAATCGCTAACCCATCCTTGTTCCTTTGGCTCCACATTCAAGCGATCTGATGGCTCTGCCTCCTCCCTGTCCTTCCACGTGACCCATTTCCTCAACTGTCACTGTTGAGGTCTGGCCCGTGCCACATTACTGCTTTCCAGGGTCATCATAACAGTCCCTCCCTTACTGGCTGGCTGCCCTTCCATCTCCCCATCTCCTTCCCCAAATCTGTTCTCAACAAACAACAAAAGAACTTCTGAACTGCAAACGTGATCTCTACAAAAAGGGACCCAGTCTTCATTGTACAATTTACAATGCCTTCAACAACTGGTCAGGACAAACCACCCCCCATCTAGGCATACCGAGTTGAGAGAGAGAGAGAGAGAGAGAGAGAGAGAGAGAGAGAGAGAGGAGAGAGAGAGAGATGGGAGGGAGAAAGGGAGAGGGATGCACTCGCTTGTATTCCCCACTTGTCATGTCCCTTCTGTGAGGGTGAACTTCCACTGGCGTTAACAATCGGGGCCACTCTATACCCTGACAGATGAGTCAGGGAGAATGATCTGGGCCCATAGGGCTCAGCAACCCCTGAGCCCTGGGCTGATCTCATAAATCTTCTCAGTGCAGAGAGGCGCACTGGCACCTGCTCTTGGCTACGTGGGACACCAGACAACACACTTCTCTGCCCAAGCCTAGATGATGAGTTCGAGTCCATGGTGCAGTATAAGAAACATCATTATTTCTTACATCTAAACTACGCCCTCCCATCAGTGTTTCTGTAGCGAAGCTTTCATTTCCATCTGTCTGACTCCTGTGCCTCTCTCTCAATTCGCTCAGATGAGGAGCATGTGTTAGTTATTGACATCCATGAATCTAACATGTACCACGTATTCATGCACATGAACACATCTGCCTGATGTGTTCATCCCTAGTTTCCCCAGCAACCTCTTCATTGAGGCTTTTTGGAGGTGTGCAGTCTTCAGGGCAAATTCCTCAACAAAATCTTCAAGCTCAAGAATAAGTATCAGCATGTCTTGATGGAAGGTCAATCTACGAGCGTGTCCATAGCAGCACTTTCCAACGGCACCAGCAGCCTCCTCTGGGAAGCTGGGAAGGCTGTGAGGCAGGGCCCACAACACATCCTCGTCCAGGGCCCAGCACTGGGCATAGAATGCTGAGGAACAAGGGTCCCGGGCGTCAGAGAAGACAGCTGCCTCCATCTATCCCTCAGTCACCAATCCTGGCAACAGCCTACGCCCACCATACTCACCATCTTTTGGTCTTAGTTGGTGGGGGGCCTGCCTCAGGAAGGAGGGGGAGGAACCCCACGGGCTGTCAGCAGCTCAGAGGAGTGTCTGAGCAAGCTGATGGAAACCGCTGCAGAGACTGAGGCCAGCTGACAGGAGGCAGGCAGCCTGGAGAGTGCCCGTGGGTAAGGGACTTCCTGCTTTCTCCTAACTCAGCAGGGAGGAAAAAACCCACTAGGTTTATCAGCAAAAAACGGATTCATAAAAGGAGGCTGAGAGTGTCTTAACCACTTAAAGACCATTTTAACCAGCGACGGCTTTGAACTGATTCACTCTGCCAGCTTCCGTATTTATTTGGCAGAACGAGTACTTCCCATGTGGCAAAGGCATGTTGGGTATGTACACGTACCTGGGATGGTGTTATCCAAGATAAAAGCCACGCAGCCTCCTACAAACATAGCAGTTGTGAGAAGAACATTCAACACCTGATCGATTCCTGTTATTCCTGGAAACAGAACACAGTGGTAGGGTCACTGCCACAGCCAGGAAGAAGCACTGGGGCGGGCACCAATCACCAATGTGATGCATGAAAGTGCAAATTTCTGTTGTACAGGAGCAGATAAATTTTTGCCAGTAACATTTTAACTGTTATAAATAATTTCAACAATAATCAAGAGATTATCTCTATAAGGAAAACTCCCCAAGAGTGGTCCATAGAAGACAAATCTAAGAGTGAAACTCACCCATAATGAACTAGAAAGCCACTGGGGCGTGGTGTTAGCAGATTAAGAAAAAAATTAATAAAAAGATGGCTGTTGTAAGGCTGAAAATATCACAAAGTGAATAAGACGACAATGAAAACATTTGTGGTATTTGGAATCAGATAAAGGGTTTCAGAATCCTGGATCACTGATTTGTGCTTAGCTGCTTTTAATTAGGAACAATTGGATGTATATAAATGAACTCATGAATATGATATATTAAAATGTAAAAAGCAGCAAGAATCTCCTTGTTATCAGAAGCTCCCACACCTGGGTGGCTCAGTTGGTTTCAGACCAGGTCATGATCTCAGTGTCGTGAGATCACGACCTGCGTCAGGCTCTGAGATCAGCGGGGAGCCCACCCACCCCCGACCCCGCTCACATATGTGCACACCTGAGCACGCTCTAAAATAAAATAAATAAAATCTTTAAAATATATGATCATCAATGGAAAATAACAAGTGTTGGCAAGAATGTGGAGAAACAGAAACCCCTGAGCATAACTGGTGGGAATCAGCTTGGCAGTTCCTCAAAACGTTAAAACCTAGAATTACCCTATTTCCCAGCAATTCTACTCCTAGGTATATACCCAAGAGAACTGAGAGCAGCGACTCAAATACAGCTGATGCCCACTACTGGCAGATTCTGTATTTGTGAATTGACCTACACCCTCAAATTTATCTATAAACCCAAAATGAGTACTCCTGGCTTTCACACTCATTCACAGAGCAGCACAAACTTTGGGTCACCCAACATGTGTGATCCCAGCCGAGATTAAACTAGGTAATGCTCTGCCTTCTTGTCTCAGCTCTCACACCTCATCTCAAGTGTGCTTGCAGCAGTCTGTTCAATAGCACTTCCCCATTTTTGTGGTTTTGGTTGGTGATTTCGTTGTTTACGATGGCCCCCAAGTGCTGTCTACTGTTCCTAAGAGCAGGCCTTCCTGAGGCCGTGCTGTGCTGTTAGAGGAGTTACCCTGCTGTTGGCTGCTGCTCCCCTAGAAGGGGTGGGTCAGGATTTGCTAATTCCATGCTCACAGTGACTTTCCAGGACACGGCTAGCTGAGTGAGGACTGACCGCACTGGTACACCACTGTTCACAGCTGTGCTGTTCACAACTGTCAGAGGGCAGGAACAGCCCAATGTCCATTCCTGGACAAACGGATAAATAGATTATTTTTACATAAATCTCAAAAACATTATGCTAAGTGAAAGAAGCCAGACATCATGTATTGTATTATTCCATATATGTGAAATATCCAGAAGAGATAAAATCCACAGAAACAGAAAGCAAATTGGTGGTTGCCTGGGGCTGGGAGAAGGGGGCTAATAGGGATTAACTGCTTAATGGGTGTGGAATTTTATTTTGGGGTGAGGAGATGGTTTTGGAAACTAAATAGAGATGGTGGTTACATGACATCGCAAATGTACGAAGATGGCACCGAACTGTTCACTTTAAAATAGTTAATTTAACATTATATAAATTTTACCTCAAAAAATATATATATAAAATGGTCCCCAATTCTGCATAAAATGTCAACAGCAATCGTTTCCCCTTGGGGGCACCTGGGTGGCTCAGTCAATTGAGTGTCCGACTCCTGATTTCTGCTCAGGTCATGATCTCAGGGTCGTGAGATGGAGCCCTACATCAGGCTCCCCGCTGGGCGAGGAGTCTGCCTGAGATTCTCTTTCTCTCCCTCGCCCTTTGTCCCTCCCCTCCTCTAAAAAGCATGGTTCCCTTTTGTTCATTTTTCATGACTCAGGTTATTAAAATAAAAAGGTGTTAAAAAGGTTAATCTTGAATTCAACGTAGTTATATAATCCCAGTAGAAAGACATGTATTTGAAAGTCTATGAAGCTGAGTTTTAAGAAATTATACATTTTCATAAAGCATTAGTCTGACAAATTAAAAGGTTTTACACACAGGCCTTCTCCCAAAAGACAGGGTCCCAGTCAATAAAGACCTTAACGTGCACATGAGTCACGTGCTCACGCCAGCTCATACCAGATGTGCAGGGGGGGCTTCCAGATCAGCGGCAGCAGAGCAAGGCTTGAATGAAATACATGGATGAATGTCTGAGGAGACAACTCCTGAAGTTCTAAAGCCCTCTCTGACTGGGGATGGGCTGTCTGTGAACCAGCAGCTGGGGTTCCAACTACCCCCAAGATTCGAGGCCAGTTTTCCTTACCTGTGACGAGAGGGTTCTGTCTGAGGTAACTTGGAAGGACAAGCCCAAAGAAGATCGAAAATCCAAGCACAAAGAGGTTCCGGGAAGAATTTAAGTCGATGAACTGCAGGTTGGAGAGCCCAACAGCTGTGATCATTCCTGGAGAGAAAGAGCAGATGGCAATTTGCACTGAGCTCACCTACAGACAGGTGACGGGCCACACACAGCCTTCCCACATCGCCCCTTCTCTGTCCCACCAGAAACCACCTGGGACACAGAACAGTGAGTGACAGGACACGGTCGAAACGGGACCACCTGGCTCTCTGATCCAAATGACTCTTGGCCTAAGCACCATCTGGACTGACACAGGGACACAAACATCATATGACACTTTCTTTAGACCAAGCAGAAAACTAAGAACATCAGTTGCCCCCTGAGAACCTCTCTGCAAACATTTTGATTAAACTGGGAAACCCACATTTTGATTAAACTGGGAAACCCACCAGAAGACCTGGGCCCTGACCACAACTGGATGGCACATAGATCATGTCAAATCCCACGGTAAAAAATTGTCAGTTTTAAATGGCCACTAGGGGAGAATTTAAATTGATTAGATAAACCAATTAAAGATCATGGTCATCTTATTTTTTCTAGAACAAGTATGCTCCATTTGGTTCTACCTTTAACATAAATTCAACTCAGAGATGGATGGAGATTTTTATGCTTTCAAGGTGTATCCCTTTGGATTTTTAAACAGAAATGTATTATTACCTTCCATCTCATGGAAGGGATTCGCTAGCAAACGTGAAGAGGAGGAGAGAGGTCAGGCTACCAAGGAAACGGGATTTTACCGAAGAGAGTACAGAAGAGGGCGCCGAGCACCGGATCCGGGAGGGAGGCGAAGAGGGCACTAAACTTGCCGATCATGCCCAGCGCCAGCATGAGGGCCGCGCCGTACTGGATCACCCGGCGACTGCCGACCTGGGGACATACCAGAAGCCAGACGGCACTCAGCGCCAGTTCTGCACCCATTCTCATCCAGTCCCCCCCCACCCCGGGGGGCAAATGTGACAAAAGCCCCAGGCAACCCCTAGATTACTCTTCAAACTTTTAGTGGAGAGGTCTCGTCAGACAATGAGGACTGATCTCAGGGCACAGTTACTATAAAGACACCCAGAGTGAAGAGATTCCCTCTCCTCTTTCTTATCCTGCCCCCCGTTCCTCCTCCACCCCACCTCCCTGGGAGGAAGGCAGCACCAGGGCTCGGCCTCTGCTTCTTGGCGCCCTGGGTGATGTCACTGCAGGCATGGCCCTGCTCCGGCTCTGTCCCGGGTTTCGAATGCCCCTACAGTCAGCGGCTGGGATGACCTTCTAACGTCAAATGCAAAAACCCCACTTCAACCTGCTTTTCTCTTCTGGGCTCTTGGAATCACCCTTTACCAAGTTAACCCACCCCAAAGCTGATTCACCTTCGTCTCCCATCTTCCCCACACCCTGAATCAGACAACAGTCCCAGATATTTCTGGAATCCCCTCTCCTCAGGATGTCTTGCCCATGAGAGGAGGCACAGCCAAGAGCGCAAGGAGTATGGATTCTCAGTGCCCCCTGCCTGGTGTGTACCCCACTCCACTCTAACCATGTGACCAGGACAAGTCACTTGGCCTCCCTGGGTGGCGGGATCCTCGCTTTTATAAAGATAAACCACGAGGTTTTGCTTTAGGGGTTAAATGAGACAAGATGTAAAACAGTGTGAACACTGCCTGGCAAGCATGAGGCTGTAATGACATTGTGGCAGAGTGACCTTTCAAACACTGTGATTTGGGAGGTCAGTGCCCTTCTGCCCCCCTTAAATCCTCTGGTGCTCATGAAATAAAACCCCTTCTCAGCCATCCCCAAGCCTGTCTACCCAGAACACTCTCACATCCTCCGTTCTGGCTGGCTCCAGATACATCCTTCGAAACACTACTCAAATGCTACCTCCTCTTTAAAAAAAAGTCTTCCTTGATGCCAAGGCTCTGCTCTCCCACACTGGGCTTCTGCAGAACTATTATAATATTTTCCATGTGGTCTCATCTTTATCTGTTCAACCTTATCTATGCCTTCTAGAAACTTCCACCTAGCCTGCTGTCCCCCAGGCAGTGGGATGTGAAGCGGGCACTAGGCTCAAGGATCCTGCACTGCTGGCCCCTGCTGTATGCTGCCTCTTCCAGGAAAGTACCCCGAGGACATAAGCTGAGTAAAAGAGGTTCCCGAAGCGCCCGGGGAGTGTCTATAGGGCTTCAAGTGTGATTCTGGTGAGAAGAGAGCCACTTAAATTTTAAGTAAAAGGAAATGAAACCTAAGTGCTAGTCCCCCAGTCAGCTGCACCAGGCACTAGTTCAAGTGCTCCGGGGCACACACGCGGGTGGCCGCTGCACAGAGGAGCAGCGCAGGTGAATGCAGGCTGTGCCCGCCACTGCACAGGGCTTCCGCTGCCTGGTGCTGGGCTAGGCCTTCCAGCAGCGTCTCACGGGACCCAAATGCCGACTGGTTAAGAATCAGAGAAGACTCTTACTGAGCCAATGAAGGGATGGCTGTCCAGCTCGAATCTGGGCCAGCTGACCCTGGAGGCCAGGCTCTGCTGCTATAATCTACCCCCCCACACACACATCAAGTGCAGGGAAGCAGCTAAAAAGGGCACGCAAACTGGAGAATTAAGCAAAAATGACCTCTGCTGGGTTGCATTACATGATAAGGAAGCCTGCCATTTTCAGCAAACATTTTTGGGAACCTACTATGTGACTAGCACTTGTTAGACAGGAGGGGGAGGGGAATACAGAGATGAGTAAGCCATAAACTTATGATCAAATCACTGTACTGCTGCCAATGTTATGCTGTGTGGGCACCCAGCACGGAGCAGCAGCTCTGAAGAGCTGCGAAGGGCTCCCCAGGGATGGTCTGGAGGGATGAGTAAGAGCTCCCTGGATGAAAAGCATCCAGGCTGTGCAAAGCCCACCTCCCAGCAGATCAGATGTGCCAGGGGAAGGGTGAGGCTGGCCCCAGGGACGCTTGAAACAATAAATCAAATATGAAGATTATGCATGGAAGGCTGATCTGCCTTAGACGCTCAAAACAAACAAGAAGCAACTCAGTGACTATCAACCGAGTGCCTATTATACACTTCTGTTTGCAACACCAGAAACACAGGCCTAATCCCTGCCCCCCAGTGCTTACACAGAGCCTTTGCCTCTCCTCTCCTGCTGCCCACTCCCTGGAATCTCTTCCCTAGCTCCATTCTGACCTCCTTGAACTCTAACTTTACCTCCAGGGCCATCAAAACATTGACACCTCATTTCTGACTTTTCAAAGTCTTCAACAGTGTGGAATGCAGCAGAGGAGAAATGGCATTCCTCTGAAGAGACTGCACTGTCGGGGAGGTGGGGTTTATTCAGTCCCTGGAAATAAACTTAGGGCTAAATATGAAGCAGGGACGCTACCTACTGCTTACTGTGAACCTACATGCCCAACTCTGCTAAATGCATTACATCAGTTTACTAATTCCAATGCCTGGCAAGCTGTCTATATATAGACAAGGGCATGGAGACTCAGGAAGGTGATGTAATCTGTCCACAGTCACACTGGGACAAAGTGATGGTACCAGAGCTGGAATGCCATACAGCCACCTCCCCACCCCATCATGCCACCCCTTTCTGCAGGACAGACACTGGAACACACTCAGAAGGGAAGACCTACACCAGGAATCCCAACTGACAACCTCCAAGCACGCAACAGGCTCACTGGCAGCCTAATCTCCTGATCAAACAGCTGAGAATCTCCAGGTACAGAGAACGTCACAACTGGACAAAAGGTAACAAGTATCACAGCTGCCAGGACATGGAGGCAGATCCTTGAGAAGAACAGAGATTACCTTCTTTCCACAAGCCCTGGAAGTCTGACACAATGGCCCGGACCAGTGCTGTCCACAGAACTTTCTACAAGGATGAAAATGTCCTGGATCTGTGCTGCCCATCGACAGCCACTAGCCATATATGTGACCACTGAACCCTTAAAATGTGGCTAGTGTGATAAAGGAACTTAATTTTCATTTTACTAACTTAAAAGAGCCACATGCAGCTACTATCAAATCGGATGGCACAGATCCAGGTCTAGAACTGTCAGACTTCAGAGCTGACATTTCTACTCAGACAAGTGATTTGTCCCAAGTCCTTCCACTGGATGAGGGGAAGAATACAGCGTCCAACTCGTGCCTCCTTCGTCCTGGACAGAATCCTTCCAGTGGCCGCATGGCTGGGCCAAAAAGAAATTTCTGCTGCAAGTCCCACTTCCCACCCCAGGGCAGCTATGTAGATGGCTCAATTATCCCCTGAGTCAGGGCAATGAAAACCAATTCAAGGCCCCTGAATGCATGCCACCTTCGCCTGGGGATAGTAATCCAAAGGGGTTCAGAGGGAAGATCAATTAGCTCATTAGAAAGTGCTGGCAGGTTGCCTTTTCAGAATAAACTGGCACTGTTCAAATTGTAATAAAGATAATTATTCCCCAAACCACCTCAGTGGCATTTCAAGAATGGAACCTCCACGAACAACACCCCCTACTCCCTACAGTGACCCTGGTTATGTTACGTGATGTGATGATCAGCCTTAAAGGGGTGCAGAATGGGAGCTGGCTTGTTAAACTGGGTTGCCAGAAGTCCCTCCATCTACAAGAATTTTACTAGTATGGTATTTCGGATTCGTTCTAGGTCTGTCCACAGGGTCAAGGCAGCAAACTGGCTAAAGAGAAGCATGGCCCTTAGCTCTGTGTGCTCGGCATTGGCCTCTCCCCACGGGCAGTGCCAGGACACAGCGATGGCACTGGAGGACACGCCCGACAAGGCTGTGTGCACACCAGACACTGGGCTCTGTGAAGGCCCCACCAACTTCCAGGGAAATGAACATGTCAGGACCATGCTCCCTTCTCACCTGGACTCGCAGTCAGGATGAACCAAACAGTCTCTGGTTTCTTTTCATCTGGTTATGGAATCTTGTAGGGAGCAGGGAAGCGGGGGTATTTCTAATCTTACAGAGGTCAGACAGCTCGAGAAGGTGGCAGCTCGCCCCTAGGTTGTCAGGACACAGGGCTCGGGTGAGGAAAACCTGTGGCGCACACGGCCATCCCAGCCAGCGAGCAGGTTCTAACCATGCCCAGGTTCTAACGCTGCCCAGCGTACAGCAGCCGGGGCGGAGGCACGTTCCAGCTGTGCAGACAGTGCGCTCTGGCTAAGGCTACTGGGATCTAGAGTGCAGTAATAAATGTGAAAGGCCTAGGAGCAGGTTCCTTACAGAAGCTGTGGGGTGGGGCAGCTCCAGGTCACAGGTCAGTGTGGAGAAGGGGTGCGGAGGCCTGTGGGAAGGACTCCAGATCCAGACCCTGCTCAAGCTGGGGGACTCGCTGTGGCCTATCAAATCCACTAACTCCGTGCCAAGTTTCGTCTGAAAGAGGTCTCTGCTGCTTTGGTTGGAAAATCACATTAATTCTTTACTGTAGGATGGATGTTTTCCTCTAAGGAGTGGGATCATCTCACATCTAGAACTAGTGCCATCTCCTGCTCCCATTTCCACCTCCTCCCCTGACCCCGAGGTCCACTCTCATCATAACAGCCAAAGTGAGCCTTAAAAAATACCCTGATGGAGGGGCGCCGGGGTGGCTCAGTCAGTTAAGCACCCGACACTTAATTTCGGCTCAGGTCATGATCTCAGGGTCGTGGGATCAGGCCCCATGTTGGGCTCGGCACTGGGCACGGAGGCTGCTTAAGATTCTCACTTTCTGGGCGCCTGGGTGGCTCAGATGGTTAAGCGTCTGCCTTCGGCTCAGGTCATGATCCCAGAGTCCTAGGATCGAGTCCCGCATCGGGCTCCCTGCTCCTTGGGAGCCTGCTTCTCCCTCTGCCTCTCTCTCTCTCTCTCTCATGAATAAATAAAATCTTTAAAAAAAAAAAAATTCTCACTTTCCCTCTGCCCCACCCCCCAACTTGCCCATGTGTGTGCACAAGCACGCGCCCCCTCTTGCTCTCTAAACACCCCCCAAAAAAACCCCAAAACCCTGATGGAGCCACAGCCCAGGGGACACCCTTCCTGTCTCTGGCAGCTTCTGGGGCCTGTGTGACCTGGTCCTCCATTACCTGGAGGATGTCACCTGCTCTTACCAACCGCCCCCGCCCCTCCTGCCTCAACGGCCTCTTTGCTGATGGGCAGCCTGTGGTCCTGCTCTCATGACAGGGCTTCATGATGGCTCTGTTCTTGGCCTGAACGTCCTTCCCCAGGGGGCCTACATGGCTCCCTCCACCTGCCCTGTTCAGTTCCTTGCTCAAGGTCATCTTTTCAGTGAGGCTTAGCCTGACCCTATTTCACACTTACCAGCCCTCACTCCCAATACCCACTCCTGCCCTGTATTTTTCTTATACTTACTATGCTTACTGTCTAGGGTTTGTATTCCTCTGTCTAGAATGTAAATGCCGACGGCGGGAATTTTGTTTTATTCACTGTGAAATCCCAAGTGCCTAGAACAGTACCCTGGCACAGGGTTGGTGCTTAGTAAATATTTGTAGAATGCCTACGAAGTAGTGACAGCACTGAGTGCCTGGCTACCCAGGCAGCCAAGGGAGGGAGACCTCTATCAGCATTCCAGAAACCCATCAATGAGAAAAAGGAGATGGAGGGGGAATGACCTCAGAGCTGGAAGCCTTCCTTTTAGAATTCACGGTGGTTAGACCAATCGATGAAATGGATCAACACTTAGAGGCCCAACCATTTAATTAGAAAAATAGCTGTACCTTAGTAATTCCCAAAACGCCAATGTTGGGACTGGATGAAGTAGAGCCATTCCCAGTACCAAATATGCCATCGAGAACACAGGAGAGACCCTCCACGAAAATCCCCCTAAAATGTAAAGGAATGGGGGAAAGAGAAACATTCATTCAATGGGGGAAATGAGTGAAATATGCTCTAAGTGGCTGCACCCCAAAGGTGGTGTGCACGGCTGGGGAGCCTCCACACTCCTGGGAAGGGTTAGAAGTGCAGAGTCTCAGGCCCCACCCCAGACCTGCTGAAGTAGAACCTGCATTTTAACAGGATCCCCCATGCTCATTCAACTGTGAGAAGCACTTCTGGGAACCACACATTAGTCACAGGTGTTTAAAAACCATTCCAAATTAAAGACTTTTAGCCAGAAAACAGAGCTATTTGTTGGGATCTAAGACAAATATGGGCCGTCTGGCTGATCTGATTCCTTTATTATTAATAGTTTCATCAGGAAGGAAATGCTTTGTAATTTTGTCAACTTTGGAACTTTTTAAAAACAATCGATTTGTAAGTAACTCCATCAAATGCAACATCCATTAGAGAAAGCTGCAAAAACCTGGAGTGTAAACACTAATAACAGAACCGAAGCAAGACATGCTAAGAGACCAGTCTACTGGATCTTATCATACGCAATCCTTCCAGGAGGGCAGCAGCTGGCTGGGCAAGGGGAGGGGGGAGCTGAAGTACGCTCTTCTCTGAGGCCTCCACAGGGTCCAATTCGCTCTCAGCATCCAGAAACTGAAGACCAGGTGTGTTGAGAAGATAAGCCCCACCGCCCGTAAGTCTCAAGATTCTGCAGACTTCACCTATTCCTGCTCTTCTTGTTCCTCTACATGGGAATTATAATTGTGAATAGAGGACACAGCATTTACCCCTAAGAACAGTAATGGAAAGGGGCACCTGGGTGGCTCAGTGGTTAAGCGCCTGCCTTCGGCTCAGGTCGTGATCCCAGGGTCCTGGGATCGAGCCCTGCATCGGGCTCCCCGCTCTGCGGGAAGCCTGCTTCTCCCCCCCCCGCCCCCCCCTGCTTTGTTTCCACCTTATGGCAAAAAAAAAAAAATATAAAAAAAAAAAAAAAAAAAAAAAACAGTAACGGAAAGAAGAAATCAAAGGGGACATCCATCCATGACCCCAAACCAAGCAAAGAAAGATGGCACTGCCTCACATCTGTTGTGGCGAGTTTAAGGTCTGGCATGGTCTCAGAGAGAGCATCTTACATGGCTGTCAAGGCAGAAGGAAGGGTGGGAACTGCCCTCCATGCTACAATGAGCAAAATGAGAGCAAAATGGGGGCAGTGACTTGTCCCAAGACAGACAACCAATAAAGAGCCCTGCTGCCTGGCTGCTTCCATGCTGAAAACTCCTTTTCTTCTCCAAGATTAACCAAAGAGCCAAGCGATGAGGCACTGGGCCCAAGAAGAACTCCATTTTCTGAGGAACATACCTGTTGATTGCATGGATGGGGGGCGGCGGTGCACAGGAGAGCCTTGCGCAGGCGTAATAATCCCCGATGGACTCAATAATACTGGCGACCACTGCGCTGAGCATGCCGATGACACCGGCGGCGGAGACGGTGGGCAGGCCCCACTGAACTAGGGAAGGAAAACAGGTGAAAGGAATCAAGACAGCAAAGGACTCCACACGACACACTCAGATTCCAAGGCGCAGGGAAAATCTTTTGCTTATTTTTAAGTGTCACTCATCAGTGCACTAGATGCCTGGGGACAGTTCCTGAGTCAGATGAACCAGGACTGGTCTGTTCTCTGTCTTTAATAAAAAGCAAGTGGTTAGAAGAGGAGGCTGCTTCCAAGCCACGCTTGGTGTCTTCTACTAAATTACAATTTAACAGAGCCCACTAGGGTAAGAATTCCTGTTGGGATGGATATTTCTATGAAGAAGATTTTTAACCCTGCTGTGCAAAGTATGGCACAAAACAACGGGGATCTTGCCCGGGTGGTGGCATTAAATGAAAATGCAGTGAAAAGTCACCACCAGCTAAATTTAAATCCCAGCAGTAAAGCATGGCATCAGACACAGACGGCCCTCTGATGTAAGATCAGTGTTTTTTTTTTTTTTTTTTTTTACAGTAAATCATGTTATGGAAAATTAAAGAGTTTCCTTTAAAAAGCAAAGCGAAGTCCCCAGGTCACTTTCTCTTGAGTATCTGGACTGTCACACGAGCCGCAGCGGGGGACCCAGCTTTGGGAAGAGGAAGAGGAAGTGCAGCGAGCAGACAGGCCAGGGGTGTGTGCGAGGGCAGGACTGCTGCCGCCTGGGAGCACACAGGGCCAGGGTCAGTCACCGTGGCCTTCCGGGCGGGTTTGGAGCAGATTTTTCTCGTGCCCATGATTTCTTTATCCAGCAACATTTTGTATTTTCTAAGCAATCTTTTACATAGTTACCTTGTTACTGACAGAGCATTGTGGTTTCATTTTAGTGTCTTGATTTGTAGGGGGGAATACTCATTTTGCCATTTATTGTTTCTTCAGAAATTGCCTTTTACTTCTTAGTCTCTTTACACTGTTTTTTTCTTTTTCCCTTTTGCCTGCAGCCCTTAACTTTGATTTTGTAAAATCTTTATTCCATCTACTTCAACATTTTAAATCGTACTCTTCTAAATTTTTGATCCCTCTTCCTTCAGATCATTTCTATATACAGTAGACCCTTGAACAGCACAGGTTTGAACCGCACTGGTCCACTTACTTGCAGGTTTTTTCCAATAAATGCAGTACAATAGTATAAATATATTTTCTCTTATGATTTTCTTAGTAGCATTTTATTTTCTCTAGCTTATTTTTTTTGTAAGGATACAGTGTATAAAACATGTAACATACAAAACGTGTTAATTAGCTGTTGACCTTATTAGTAAGGGTCTTAGTAGTTAAGTTTTGGGGAAGAAAGTTATATGCAGATTTTTGATGGTGGGGGTGGGGTGCACCAACCTCCCCCCCTCCACTTGTTCAAGAGTCAGCTACATGTGTGCGTATGTGCATATAAATCTTGTTGGCTTCCAGCCTTCTCTTTGAACTGTTATTTAACCCCCTTTAACTAAAATGCCTAATTTATGATGTTACTTTAAAGCAGTTTCTCAGCCTCAGCGCTACTGACATCTTGGGCCCCCAAACTGTGTTTTAACCAATTTTTCTCACACTAAAGACTAAGGACCTCTGCTGTAGATATCTGGAAACCTGTCTCCAGACTGAGCCAAACTGTCAGAGGGGGTGCCCTCCTGCTCTCTGGGGTGGCCTTCTGCCCCAGGAGCCGTGGCCCCAGAGCAGCTTGAGGCAGTGAAGGGCTGTGGTGAGGAGGAGCCCAACAGCACAGCCTGCCATCCTGGGGCCAGGTGCCCAGTCCACTTGGCCATGGCCCCTCATGCACGGGGGGGGGGAGGACCCTGGGGACATCTCTTTGGTGTCTCAGCACATGCACAGCTGCTCTTCCCAAACAGCCTACCCTGTGTTCCTCATTTGTGCTCATCTTGGGACTGGCCTGCACCACAGAGAAGACCTCCCAGCGTTTGCTCTTCCTTTTTTTAAAGATTTTATTTATTTGACAGAGAGAGACAAAGCAAGAGAGGGAATACAAGCAAGGGGAGTGGGAGACGGAGTGGGAGAGGGAGAAGCAGGCCTCCCAACGTGGGGTTTTGACCCCAGGACCCTGGGACCATGACCCGAGCCGAAGGCAGACGCCCAACGACTGAGCCACCCAGGAGCCCCAGGTTACAGATATATTTTAAAAAATCTTTCAGCAAGGGGTCCTGGGTGGCTCTTGATTAAGAGTTGATTAAGCATCTGCCTTTGGCCCGGGCCATGGTCCGGGGGTCCTGGGATCAAGCCCCGCGTCAGGCTCCCCGCTCATCAGGTAGCCCGCTTCTCCCTCTCCCTCTGTTCCTCCTCCTTGCTTATGCTCTCGCTCTAAGAAATAAACAAAATCTTAAAAAAAATCCTTCAGCAAACTATACTTTTTATTAGTCAAAAAGAAATGGCTTTTTTCTTTGCCCCCCCTTTAATGCTTTTCATTTTGGAATCTATTTATTCTATTTAGCCATAAGTTAACAAAGCCACATTCACTTTTGTTAGCATCTGCCTGGTATACCTTTGTCCATTTCTTTATAATCCATAGCAACTTAGATTTCCAGCATGTGCTCTTCCTACCAGCCTCCCACACCTCCTTCTGACTGCCTGACCAACAGGTTTCATCTCATTTTATCTCGGATTATATGTCTGTTTATAAACCATGCATTTATTCTTTTTTGGGAAAAGGGACAGGTGTACATAAATACATAGTTAGACCATATGATCTTATGAGAATATTATTTTAAAAAGAATAAACTTTTTTAAGTCTAAACCTGTCAATGATAAAAGGAACTGCCAACATCACTATCATTTAACATGCTCGGAACAGTTTCCTTAAAACCAACCTTACTATTCTTGGCTTTTCCTGCTTTTTCTCCTTATCATCATAAAATGTGAAGATGTGGCTACTGAGCAGGGGAATAAATCAGCAGAACTCGACTAAGGTCAGGTTTCGGTTCTAATTAAAAGGCCCAAGCATTAATAACCACTGGATTCATGCAAGTCACTTTTGGCGCTGGGACCTAGAAAGTATTATGTGTGAATCCAAGTGATACCTCAGCTTGGGACTGCACCTCCCACCCCACACACCTTGACAAGAGTTATCCAACACTATTATAACTTAAGAGCCATCTTCCACCTATTGGTGAGTATCCCTTTACTTCTGACAGCTGTGACCAAATAAAAAACAAAGATTATGGCTACCCATTAAAAGATTACACAAATCCCATCATGCTTGAGCAGTCGGCTTGCTAATCTTCAGGCCTCTCCTGCTGAAGCCTGCTCTGTGTGGGCAGCTTAGGTACCATGCAGCACTATACTTGCCTTCTTCAACCCTGGCAAGAGACCCTTTGTCCAGGATTTCATCCCAGTGGAACCAAAAGAACTAGTTCATCTGGGAAGGGAGCTGGCAAATCTCTGAGCATTAGTGTCAGTCCTCTGGGGTCAGGGCCTCCCCCTGTCCGCTGTCAAATCCTCTGAATGGTAAAACTTTCAAGGGACATTCTAGGACAAAGAAGGCTTTTCAAGCTGCAGAACCTTCTGCCGCCTTCCAGCTCCTCTAAGGAGGGCTCTTGTGAGCTCCTGACCCCTCTCCCTCTGGCCATCAGGGTACTTACACGGGTACGGGACCTTAAACCACGGGGCTACCAGAAGCACGCCCTGCCTGGCGTCCGTCCGAGCATAGAAGCCGTACTTTGTGCTGTCGGGAGGGAAGACGTCAGTCACTGTGAAGATGAAGCACAGCAGCCAGGACACAAGGATGGCCAGGATGATCTAAAAGTGGTCAAAGGGAAAAGCTCCATGAGGCCAACCAAGGTGGTGGATGCTGGCAAAACACACATCTTCCTATGGCCTGAATATCATACCCCAGAACCTCCACCATCGTTGGTACTTTGCAGAAAAAAACACATTACAGACCTGCTGAGAGCCTACTCCTGGATGGAATCACATCTAGAGAGAGCAGTTTTATGCAGGTAAAGCTATTTTAACTCCCAGCCTGGCTAGAAAATAAGAATAACGGACAAGGTACTTGCAGAAGCCATGGGAACACAGATCTCCCTCTGTCTCAAGAACAGTGCCCTTCTTCACACTCCTGAGAGGATTTCAAAACCACAACCTTCTGCCGCTGGTAAACCTTAAGCCCACGACAATTTCGTGCTCATTAGTACCCTGATGTTACAACCCCAACCTAGTTCCCCCAGGAAGACATGCTTAAAACTTCCTTTCACATAAACAAAGGCAGTATTGTCGGAAAAAACAGAAGTGACTACTCACAGGGAACATTTTGAAAAGCTGTAACTTGTATGCAGTCCATCCTTTCTTGGATTTGTAAATTGGGAGAGGAAATTTAACATTTCTGGCATACTGCGAAAACAATAATACTAGGAAAATTGTCCTGATGAGAGAGAGAGAGAAAATAAACTAGGTTAAAGGTTGTCTGTGTTTTAAAATAATACTCAAAGCTTCAACAGCAAAACTGACCACATATATTCGATTCATTTCTCTAGAAAGCTCCTAGTCCTATTAACTGTTATTTGGGGAGGTGCCTGGGTGGCTCAGTCGTTAAGCGTCTGCCTTCGGCTCAGGTCATGATCCCAGGGTCCTGGGATTGAGCCCCACATCGGGCTCCCTGCTTAGAGGGAAGGCCTGCTTCTCCCTCCCCCACCCCCCCTGCTTGTGTTCCCTCTTTTGCTGTGTCTCTCTGTCAAATAAATAAATAAATAAAATCTTAAAAAAAAAAAAACTGTTATCTTATCTTTTGGAAATGCCATTTTGGGAAAGATATTAGTTCTAGGCATATCTTGATACTAAATGAAACTGCCATATAAAGCTTTGGCTAAATTTTCCTTAACAGAATAAGAAAACCTGAAGAATGCACATACTCAGGAGAGATGCTCACACCACGTAAGGGAAAAAGATACCACATACAAGACAATGCACACTATAATCACAACTAGGAATTAACTACAGAACAAGCACTTGCCACACGGGCATGTCCATGCACACATGTGTGCAAACAGGCAAGGAGGACAGGGTCCAAAATGCTCACAGGGATTGCCTACAGTTGGCAATATGTTTTGAGACTTTTCTACTTTTCCGTATTTTGTGATTTATGTATCAAGAGCATAAACTGCTTCAAAAAGCAAAAAGCTTCAACATTTAAGGAGGCTACATACAGAATTCAGTATTAACAACATTCCTGGGAGGTTTGTCTGTGTCAGACACTATGTGAAGGCCGTCCTGCCCATCATCCCAGCCTTCTGCAGCAGTGGCTTCTATGACCACCCACGTCCCAGACAGACGAAGACAGCAGTCCAAGATCATGCAGCCAGGGTTTGCAGGGCAGGTGGGCAGGCCAGGGGGTCTAACTCTACAGCCTGGGCTCTGAACTACTTTGCCACACTATCCTAAGAGCAGGGATGCTGGGGCTGGCTCAGAAGGCTCTCTACCTTGAGCCCCACACTCCTGACCCAGCTGCACTAAGGATCACAGGAGGCAGCGACATCGGGTGACTCCTCTGCAGCAGGACCCAACACATCGTCATACGCCTGCTACCAAGCGTGGCCAGCGTGGGATGGCTTCCCATGCTGACACAATGAAGGTCTGCAATGACGTGTTTCATCACCCACAGGGATGCACTCTCACTCACAACCCGAGGGAGAGCTGGCACAAGAGTGGGTTCTCAGTCAAAGCTCAGCTTAATTGTTCCTGGGCACAGCTCCAATTGCGGAGATGGAATTATCAGCTCCACTGACAGCCGGTCAAGTGCAGTTTCACTGTCACGTTCCTAATGAGGCATGTAGCCTATAGCCAGCTGGGGAACCGGCCCATGCCACTCCATCCTCTCCCCACCTATCCACCAAATGCTTTGCTCACTGGTGATGGGGGTCTCAGCCCAAACACAAAGTCATCAAGCCAGTACCTGTTGGAGGCTGGAAATATACATGGTGCCCAAGCTATTCCAATTCCCCCGGGGTGGTGAAGTTTAATAAAAAAATGTTATGGTGGGACACCTGGGTGGCTCAGTCTGTTAAGCATCTGCCTTCAGCTCAGGTGATGATCCCAGGGTCCTGGGATCAAGTCCTGCATCAGGCTCCTTGCTCAGCGGGGAGTCTGCTTCTCCCTCTGCCTCTGTCTGCCACTCCCCCTGCTTGCGCTCTCTCTCTGACAAATAAATAAAATCTTTGAAAAAAATGTTACGGGGGCGCTTGGGTGGCTCAGACTGCCTTTGACTGAGGTCATGATCCTGGAGTCCCGGGATCGAGTCCCGCATTGGGCTCCCTGTTCAGCAGGGAGTCTGCTTCTCCCTCTGACCCTCATGATCTCTCTCTTTCTCTCTCTCAAATAAATAAATCTTTAAAAAAAAAAGTTATGGTAATGACAGGTGCCAAAACTGGTTTACTTTAAATTTATTTTTTTTTAAAGATTTTATTTATTTGATAGAGACAGGGCGAAAGAGAGAACACAAGCAGGGGGGAGTGGGAGAGGGAGAAGCAGGCTTCCCACCGAGCAGGGAGCCCAATGAGAGGCTCGATCCCAGTACCCTGGGATCATGACCTGAGCTGAAGGCAGACACTTAATGACTGAGCCACCCAGGTACCCCTGGTTTACTTTAAATTTAGATCAACATAAAATTTTCATGTTCCAAAAAAATGCTGATTTATTTCAAAGTGAACACTATGAGATCCCCAAAGGCCCCAAGTCTATTATTATCATTATTTCAGGCAACACCCACCTATTATCGCCTGCACTATGGTGTTCACGTTTTAAAGCATGTTTACAAGGGGAGGAGGGACACATAGAGAATTCAGGAAGGACACCCAGATCTCAGGCCAAATCTGGCAGCAAAAATGAAGCGAGTGGACTAGGCAGATGAACACTCCATTTTTCTGCCACTCTAAAACCCATCCCCTTCTGATTTATGTTTATCCTCAAATAGCCTGTGCAGCAGGTAGGGCAGGCAGTCCCATCACAGAGAGGTGGCAGGAGTAGAGGCTCAGGGCCGGGGTTGGGGGGGGGTGGGCAAGGGGGGGCGGGGAAGGGGGGACTGTGCCCGAGCTCACACATCTAGGCCGACCAGAGAATGGGAAAGGATGAGCCAGCCCCAGGTTCTCAGGCCAGGGTTCTGTCCAACCACTGGCTTGCTGACCTTCTACCTTACAAATATTATGCAAGCAATGCAATGCACACTAAAATACAGGAAAATTATAAAAGGCAGATAAGCAAAAAGACAAAATCCTGAAGATCACTCATCATCCCAGCTGGGTAACAACCCATGTAACATTCTGGCCTACAGATTCTGAACAGCTTCCATTCCCTGGATACTTACAGGGTGTCACCGGGTCCGGGGCACCGGGGTTAGAGAGGGACACGGGACTGCCTGATGTTACCCTTGCCCTTGGAGCACAAACAGCTCATCATCTCACCCAAAATGGAATCAGACTTCACAATGTATTTCCCAGCTAGCTTGTAGCCCCTATTAATGCCACAACCTCTACAGATGGAAATCAGCAACAGCACCTTAGTGGCTGGCTACTTAGCATCCCACCTTATGTACATAGTACATCTTGTTACACAGTTTCCATATGGTGTGACACTGGGGGCATAAACAACTGTGACAGATCACCCCTCCCTGGCACCTGTCTACACATCTCCTTACGGCAGGTTCCTAGGACTAGAATGGATCTGCCAAAGAGTAAATGCCTTATTATAAAGTTTTTTTTCTTATTAAAAAGCTTCTGATACAAACTGCCAAATACATAAAAGTTGGATGAATTTACAATCCCACCCAGAGATCAAAAACATCCACTTGCTACTCACCGCAGTACAAAGTCTTGTACTTTTTTTTTTTTTTTAAAGATTTGAGAGAGAGAGACACAGAGAGCGAGAGCGAGCAGGGGGAGGGGCAGAGGGAGAGGGTCCCCACTGAGCAGGGAGCCCAACAGGGCTGGATCCCAGGACCCTGAGATCATGACCTGAGCTGAAATCAAGAGTCAGAGGCTTAACCGACTGAGCTATGCAGGCGCCCCATAGTCTTATACTTTTAAATCCCTACCAATTTCATCAATTTAAAAAACTACTGTCATTTATTTTAACATTCATCCCTTACACTAAAGAGTATGTATTTCAGCATTGTTCACAACAGCAAATATTTTAAACAAGCATGAGTATCAACTGGGGAATGGTTTCATAAATTCTATGCTATTTCATACTATTTAGCACTGTGCAATTTTACAAAGAATGCAGTAGATCTAAACACACAGTCTTAGAGAGGAGAGCCCCAACAAACTGTTAGGGTGAAAAGCAGACGATCCTGGTAAAGCTACGTACGTCACTGTGTTCATATTTATGTATACAGGGCAAATACTAACTTTTCACTAGTTAATTTAATCAAGACATTTTTAACTAGTGAAAAGTTAGTATTTGCCCTGTATACATAAATATGAACACAGTGACGTACGTAGCTTTACCAGGATCGGTGAAACTATAAATTAAGGACATTAGCCTTTTTAATGGAATTTGTTGTAAATTTATCCCAGATTCATTTATAATTTAGTTTTCAGTGGGTTTTGATAGGAGTTTTAAATGCATCGGTAGTAAAATCTATCAGTCTTTCTCTTTTCAATATCTGCTTTAAGAAGGATCTTCTCCTGGGCCCCTGGGTGGCTCAGTGGGTTAAATGTCTGCCTTCGGCTCAGGTCATGATCCCAGGGTCCTGGGATGGAGTCCCGCATCAGGTTCCCTGCTCAGCGGGGAGTCTGCTTCTCCCTCCGCTCTCTCTCTTGCAAAAATAAATAATCTTAAAAAAAAAACTTCCCTGTCCCATGATCAAATATTTATGTACATTTTCTTCTGGCACAATTCACTGTTTTACTTTCTATACTTAAGTCTTTAATTCAACTGAAATGTAATCTGATATAAACCAGGAATCTAAATTTTTTTCCAAATAATTATCTAATTTTTCTAATTTTTCTATTCCCCACTGATTGCCAATATGACTGCCGTCATACACTAAATATTAATTTCTTCTTGGTTCTGTTTCTATCCCTCCTGTTCTGCTCTACTAATGTCTATCCTTCCAGGACTACAGTATTGTATTAACAATATAGTACTGTTATTGTTATTGTTGTTATTAATAATGCATTATTAAGGGGCGCCTGGGTGGCTCAGTCGTTAAGCGTCTGCCTTCGGCTCAGGTCATGATCCCAGGGTCCTGGAATCGAGCCCCGCATCGGGCTCCCTGCTCTCACTCCCCCTGCTTGTGTTCCCTCTCTCACTGTGTCTCTGTCAAATAAATAAATAAAATCTTAAAAAAAAAAATGCATTAAGTTCGGAAACGTAGTTTAATTCTTGTAAGAGCGACTTGTACCATTCCCTTCTCTCTGAGTTCTCTGGGAATGACCCTTATTACTTTATTTTCTTATTCACTGATTAACACATCCAGAACAACCTTAAATGATACCAGTAATAATAAACATGCTTATCTTGGTTTCTGATTTCAGCAGGCAGGACTGATATTTAAGTCTTTCACCATTAAAGAATGAGGCACTTAAAAATCTTATTCATGAAAGATCCTTCTATCCCCATACTGCTAACAGTTGGCAGCAGAGATAGAGACTGAATGTGATTTAGTTGTCACCATGGTTTTTTATTATTAAATCCACCATGGGCCTATAATGAATTTTATTAATTTTCTAGGGACACCTGGGTGGCTCAGTCGTTAAGCGTCTGCCTTTGGCTCAGGTCATGATCCCGGGGTCCTGGGATGGAGCTCCGCATCAGGCTTCCTGCTCGCTCCCCCTGCTTGTGCTCTCGCTCTCTGACAAATAAATAAAATCTTAAAAATAAAATTTTTCTAATATTTAATCATCCTTGAGCTTCTAAAATGACACACATAATGTGTTGGCTTTTTTATTATTACCTATAGCATTTTCCCAAGCCATGTTTCAAAGAACATTCTTCCAAGATATGTTACTAGATATGGCACTAAAAACATAAATTGTGTGTGCAGAGCTGGACACTAAGGCCTTTTTCTGAAAAGGGTCTTCTGCACACTACCATTTTAAAAGATCACAAGGAGACTTAAAGTACAGAAAGATGCTGAGCTTTAGCACGCTACTACCTAAACATATCTGAACTAAGCTTGAGGCTTGACACCAACTCTAGGGAGGAAAGGAAATGTTGAACCAGGCTGTCCCTTTGGTATTAGCTCTGTCAGAATCTGCCATTTAGATAAAACTGGCTGGGAAGTTTCCCTGGTTTCTCAAAGTGCCAGAACCACTTACCCAGTGTAGGCATTTGCCCTTCCTTGAAATAGAATATCCTCACTAACCACTGGAGCCCAGAACACTTTTTAGGGATAAAATCCTTTGACAGCATTCTTGCCTCTTCCGTGCTCAGGGGTGTACTCACAAGCCCCATTCCTCCTTTCTTATTATGAGGTGCTTACTCAACACCTGCTCTGTGACAGGTGGTGGGCCAGGCGCTGGAGGTGCCGTGGGGACCAGCCTGAGCGAAAGCCTTGCAGAGCTGGCATCCCACGTACAAAAGAAGCTGGCTGGAAACTAAAAAACATGAAAGCAGAAAGGAAAAGCTTGACAGTGGATGCACAGATACAACCGAGAAATTTTCTCATGAATAGAGGAATAAAATGAAGAAATGGAAAGCAGAGGAAGGGTCTGGGAGGTCCAACATTCTAAAAGTTCCAGAAAGGGACAAGCAGGAACAGAGGGGAGGAAGGCATCCATGAAATAATTCAAGATCATTTACCACCCCACCCCCCAAACAGCTGAGATTCCAGAGTGAAAAGGCCCCAAGTGCCCAGGCACGAGATGTAAATAGAACGAGGGACAGTGAGGGAGGTTTCAGACACAGACAACAAAAAGACCTACAAGCTTCCGAAATCCTAGCTTGTGTGCAATTAAGAGTTTCAAAAGGAGGAGTAAGGAGCAGAGAGTGGCCAAGCACTTCACAGGGCAGGAGGGGAGCAGGAGAGAAGCTGAAGACCAGTTTGGAAGCAATGAACAAGGGTGAGGACTGCCGAGTGGTGGGACTGGCCCTGGAGGTGATGCAGAAAGATGGTTTGCACGTGGGGAGAGAGAGAAAGCAAAGAATCAAGGACAACTGCAGGGCTTTTGGCTTCATCAGCTGGATGTGTGTCATGGCCCTGGCTGAGAGCAAGATGGCCGGGGGGGGGGGGGGGGGGGGGGGTTGGGGGAGGGAGGGAGTCAAAAGCTTGACACTTTCTCCCCCTGAAGTTTGAGGTGTCCTGTGTCACAACACCTGGAGCGTGCAGGCCAGGGCTTGGAGTTTAAGTCTGGTGTCCAGAGGTCTGGGCTGCAGGCTTCTTTGGAAGTCACCAGCATACCAGAGGCTTGCTGGGGTCATCCTAGACAGGGTCCCCCAGGGGAAAAGCATGTGGCAGGGAAGCGATCCAGAACCAGGTTCTGAGGAACCCGACATTTAGCGATCAGGGTGAGGAGAAGTCTGTTTTGGTTTTTATGCTTTTCTGGAAACCACCCATTTTATTGATTTGCTGCTGTTGTTTTTAAAGGCGGGGACAGGGAGCACAGCTAGAACTCTTCCTCCCTGGACCTAAGGCTTTATCCTCCATTTGTGCATTCACTCCCTTCTCTGCTCAGTTAGCCTTGCCAGAAGCGTGTCCACATGTTATTTTCCAAAGAACCAATGTTGGGATTTTTCACTTCTATTTCTTCTGTATTTTTTTATCTGTATTGATTTTTGGTCCCCTGCCTCCATTAGGCTCATTTTTATCCTGTTTTTCTAGTTTCTAGAGATAAGCTCTTCATGTACTTTGCCTTTAAGATTGTGCGGATTTTTTAAAAAGATTTTTAAATTTATTTGAGAGAGAGAGAGAGAGTGGTGAAGGGAGAGCAGAGAGAGATGGATGAGCAGACTTAACCGAATGAGCCACCCAGGTGCCCCAAGATGGTGCATTTTTTTTGAGAACAATTCTGACTACTCTATGGGATTGGTCGGTTCTCACCATCATCTTCTAAATTATCAGCAACTGTGAAGTTTCAATTTCCCCTCTGACTAGGAGTGATTTATAACAGTGCTTTCCAGCTTTTAAGTGGTCTGGGGGTTTTGCTCACCCTTTCACTGTTGGTTTTTAACTTTACTGTATGATGGTAATTACATCTTTTCCTTCTTGGAACTTCCTGCATTTCACTGAACAAACATTCTTCCATGCCCTTCTACACACTCATGCTGGTGTGGGCAATACTGACCAACCTTCAGTGAAATGAGAAAATTAAGAACAATCCTGGACATTTTCACATACCTTAATTTGTAAGGATACGTGGATTATAATTTCGCAAGGATGCGCTTTACTTGTTCCAACACAGACAGGCTGGATTAAGTATTACAGAGTAAATTCTGGTCAGACTATTTGGGTTCTGAAAACCATCCCAGCCACTTACTAGCTGTGCAAGCCTAGGCAATGAACTTTGCATCTTGTGCCTCTGCTTCTTTTGCTGTTAAATAGGGATAACACTGGTACCTACCTTAACTTACGATGTATACGAGTGTTTGGTAAAGCACTACTAATGCAGAGGCTCAAGAAGTGCCACATGCTGTTTAATAATTACAGAAGACTTCATAAGACAAAAACAACTGGAAATTGCCTTCTATTATTTATTTTAGAAATTTCACTGGTTGGCAAAATTCCAGGTTTTGCACCATTTCCCTAGGACAATATCAACTCTTTCATGTGCTCTCCAGGCACACAAAAAGAATGCGGGTTCTGTTTGTGGTATACAGAGTTCTATGGCTCTACTAATCAATCTTATAATATTATCGAAGTCCTGGATGTCTTTACTGACAACACACTGAGGGGTAAATGACATCTTTAACGGACTTGCACTTCCATGCTGAAGGACCAGCTGTAACTGTCAGGACTCTAGCAGGGGCCACGACCTCCCGGCAGGTGTTGGCAGGAGCCTGGGGAGTCATGTCTCCTTCAATGCAAACACACACTCCTGCAGCATCCCTGTCTCCTGCCAACCTGGAAGGTTTTTTTGAGTCTCATCTAAAGGACTGGCTTCTTGGTATCTCCATTCATGTGCAAGAGACTTGGCATGACCTCAGAAGTTAAAAACTAATGGCATCACCATCTTACACCCCCTTCCTAAAGCGTGAAACCTTACAACCCTCCCTCTACACATCACTGCCAAACAGGTCTTTGGAATACCTTGACTGCATGTCACTTCCCAACCTCTGGGTCTTAAACCCTTCAATAACTTTCTGGTAAGAAACAAATCAAGTTTAAACTGTCAGATTATTCTTACTTAAAACAAAACAAAAAACCTATCTCCTAAGGTCTGTGTAAATGCTCAAAATACCCCACGAGGCTGCCACTAGGTGTGGGAAGGGGAGGTGCTGACAGTCCGTGCTAAGTGGTCTAGAGAACTCACAGCATGGCGATGCCCCAGTGCTTCCCCGCTCTCTCTCCTGCCGCCTGGAAGCCAGACAGCCCGATGAGGGCCACCGTGGGCGTAATGGTCAGGGGCCCGATGTATTTCAGCAGAGCCCCAGGCAGGCCGAGGAGGCCGATGACCACTTCTATCAGTGAGGACATGATGATGGCACCCTGGATCTGGAGCGAGAGAGGGCACAGACAGGAGAGTGAGATGCTTGTAGATCGTAGACTCCAAATGTCACCCGCAACCACACCGGACAGTTCTGCCAAGCAGTGAGTTACTACCTAACAGGCATGACACAGCTGGAAAATTCCCCGAGGCCTCAAAAGAAACCAGTGGGGTGAGTGGGGTCTAGCCAACCTACGAACGACATGGTTGACATAGGAGCGTTACAGAAACGGGCACTGACACATGTACAGCCAACCTGCCTCCCCACAGATAAGTGAGAGATTTATGACTCCCGCTCAAGACATGGGACATTCAAAGCCAGCCTCAGAGGAACACTCCAGCACAGATTCTAGAGTGAGTCCCTGAGGGACATTTAGAAGGAAGTGCTATTGACACAAATTCCAAAGGAACGCTTCTTTTGTGGAGAATGGCTGTATCTGCGCCCATTCTGAACTAATGGTGAAAGATCTTCCAGGTTTGGGGAGATCTGGATAAACGGTCAGCCATTCTTCACGGCTAAGGACTCCCGTGCCCTGTTCTGTTCAAGTGCACCAGAGCAGACAAGAAGCTTTAACTCTTCCCACACACATGGGCAAACGCAGGCAGGAATGAAGAGTTCTGCTGCCCGTAGGCCAGCCTCTGTCGCTCCTTACGAGGGAGCTGGTAACGGGCCAGTTACACTGGAGGATGTAAGTCTGGTCTGTGCACGGTGGGGGGGGGGATGAAGGGCAAGAAACAACACTGCCTGGTTGCACAAAGCATTTCTGCACGATTTATGGTGATGTCAATCTAAGTTTAGTTTCACAACAGAAATAAACATGTCAGAAGTTGAAAAGGAAAAGGAGGGCTTAGCGCAAGTAAATACAATTTCTTGGGCACAGCCAACAGTGAAGCGGGGAAGAAACACAAAGAAGCCCCAAGCAGACAGTGTTCATCTTTTACCTCACGTATCCGGGGGTACCAGATGTGCTCTGTGTGTAGCAGCTCTGTGGTTCCATTGGACACTGAAACATCTTGAAAACAAAAACAGAGACAACATTTTTTTGGAGTGACACTGATGTTTCACAGGATATATTCATTTTACTCTTTGTAAGGAGAAATTTCTTCCCTATTTTAAGTATATTTGTACAAAATACCCATCCCTAAAATTCAAGTTACAACAGTATGGCTTACCATACTGAAAGGTGGAGTCCCCAGCGCTAATGTAACCAAATTTATTCATCGACTGAGAGCTCCCAGTGTGTCAAAAGCTGACTGAACTGGGGATGCACATTGCTAGTGCCAGACTCACACAAAGACCAACCTTTGCAAGCAGCTAAGCTAACTGAAATGCCTGAGAGCAAGGTTGCTGACTGAGGTTTTTAAAACCTAGAGAAAACAGAGGGCCTTTTCCAGTTCCTAAATCAAATCAGTGGTCACAAATTAACTCCTAGGAGCAAGGAAGGAAATGAAGGTTGGAAAACTTTGCTCCTAGAACCGGAAAGTGTAACAGTATTTTGAGAGTACAACAGGTCTATCTGATTTTCTCAAACCCCCTATCTGATTTCTTCCTGACCTTATCGGGTTATTTAAGGATCTCTGTGATCACTAAATGGGCGGGGCGGGGGGGGCGGTGGTAAAAGTCATTTGCAGAAAACCAAAGCAGCCAGATCCTTCAAAAGCAGAGATGGTTCAGAGAAGGGAAGCTGATGCAGCAAAGAGAGTGATTACTGGTGGTTCATAAAATCCACTGAAAGAAAGAGGCAGAAAAATAGCACAAATGTTGTTCTAGTCCATTCCTGTATTTATCAACTTCATTAGCATAGAGAAATGAGGTCCTTTCTGGTCCTTACTTGCTCTGGGGTTAGGGAGGAACGAGTGGGGAGAGAGAGAGAGAGACAGAAACACGATCCACAGACTGGAGTGTTTTAAGCAGTTTGTTGGTTTGTGTGTTCTGTGCCCGATTCCGGAAAGGATTTAAGGCTGCCGTGGGCAGCACGTCCAGGCCTCCCTTCTATCACCTGCGCTGAGGGACCCCAATGACGTACGTGGAAATAACTGCAGTTACCTGTGGTGTTACATTTCCATTTATCTAAAGACAGGATGGCTCGAGCAGGGGCCAGAAATGCAAAAGCACTGGCCTGAAACAGGGGTAACCTAAAAGAAACGAGACCAAAACCATGATCACGGCATCAGGAACTACCGAGGTAGTTCACGATTTGACAGCTTAACAAGTCTTTTCCATAGACACACAGCACAATGAGTAAATGCAGGCACGCTCGGGAGAAAGAGCCCCAGTCCACACAGATCTCCTCCGCATGCGGCCAGGGCCGCCGGCTTCTCCATCCTCCCCTCCTGCTGCTCCCCACACACAGCCCTGCATGGGCCTCGGGGGAGCCCTGTGGTCAGCGCCCACACCCCAACACCAGGCCCTGCCATCACCACCTTTCCCCTCGGGGGTGGGGGATGTCGGGCCTTCAGGAGTCTCGCTTTCCTGCTGAGCTTGTGAGCTCCTTCTTAAACACCAGTGTGTCTTCCAATTTACCACCCTCCTCCTCCTCCCTTTCACATCCTTATTGGTTATCACAGGAAAAAAAATCTATCTCCCCCTGGCATTCCATTTTGTAAATCAAAAACTGCCCTAAATCCTAGAGGATAAGCGTCATAATCATGTTAGTGATCTAGAGTTACTGAGGAAAGGAAAACTGTAAGTTACAAATCAACAGCATATATAATAGCCTGCTTAATCATAAAAAATACTCAGAGAGCGTTCTAAACCTTATTTTTAAAGAACCCAGAAAGCATGTGGACTCTGTTTAATCTCCTGCCTACAGTCCTCAAATGCCACCATTCAATTACATTTTAGATACTCCATGTTGACTTTCTGAACACCTGAGCTACTCAAATTCACAAGATTTTTCAGTGTACAGCGTTTCAGCTACCGTTGTATGAAGGTAGCTTTACAGGCTAACATAAGAACTTGATTGCTATTTTTAACATTTTCAGGGTGGAATATAAAAATGACTCCTTCTGCTGGCGGGGCTGGGAACTCCCAGATGTCCAGATCCTTCTGAAATACTCCCCAGCAGCCTTGTATCAGCATCCTGGCCAGTGGACGGGCACCCGGCACGCACACCGCTCCACACTCTGACAGCACGTCCTGCCCTGACTGGAACAGGAAATGGGCTGAGAGAAGGTGGCTCTGGCTCAAGGGTACGTAGCCACGTTACAAGCCCAGAGCTGGCACACACCTCTCTGCGCCAGACATGGGCCTCAAGATCTCTTGTTCTCCTGTTTTAAATCATGCAATGAAATCAATTGAAAAGAGTAGGCAGGATGCTGGTTCTAGGGTGTAGAGGCAGGAGGGCTGCACGGTACAGACCAGACGCGTTGCTGGCTGTCACTCACATGGGCACGCCCTCCACCAACCATCCAGCTGTTGGAGGGGCCCAGAGCACAGTACCGTCAAAAGTGGGAGTGAAGGCCACCTGAAGCGGGAATGTATACTAAAGGAAAACACGGTTTGATTTGGTAACTTTTCAGAAATGCCCTAAAAGGGCAAAGAGAGGTCAACACCTGATCAATGGATGTCATCTCAAATGGCCCAAATAACATCAACTTTACTATCGTTTCAGATTTCCAGCAACACATCCCCGGGCCACGTAATGTGGATTGCATTTAGAGACCTGTCCTAGGAATAGTGCAATCGACACTGCACTGGATGACTCACTGGATAGGAAAGTGAAGACTGGCTCTGGGTTCCACTCCCGGGGACATGAACTATTCCCGGCCTCGTCTGGACCTGACCATCACCTGGGCACCTGTCAGGGCAAACATTTTATGGCTTAAACATGACCAAAGGTCCTGAGAACACAGCTGCAAAGAAGCTCCCTCATTTCAAGCAACCGGGACCCTGCATTCTTTTGGAAAGTGAGGGGTAATAGAAAATCCCCACATGTGCTGCCCCAGGCTCCCAGGATGCTCACACGTTCACGGTTCAGCCCACACACACTACCTGCCCCACGCAGCACCAGTGGGAGGGCGGCGGCCGCTGGAGAGTCAGCAGCAGAAGCGCCCCAGCAGTTAAGGGTGGTCTCCACACTGGCAGTGACACATCAGCGGCTTGACAGAAAGATTCTTAGGGAAAACTGTGACGAGAGCATATTATTTCATCAAACAAGAACTTCCCTAAATACAAAGCCAATTTTCCGAGAAAAAGATGGAGGAGGATAAAGCACTAGATATTCTCAGCTGCTGAAGGGGCTTTTTGAAGCCCTTCCCCAGCAGACAGCTGATTGTCTGTCTGCACAGGGCTCATCTCTGCACTTCGGTCACACACCCATCACCACCTCGGGTCCCTGGGCTCCCCACGCAGGCAGGACTGCCTGCTCTTTTACTTTGTCCTGACGGCTGGGAAGAAACGAATCAAACTGCCTTTCTTTACACCATGGGCTGGCAAACTGGCCCATGAACCCAATCTGGCAAACAACTTGTCTTTGTGAGAAAGGTTTTACCGGGACATAGCCACTCCCATTTATTTGCCCGCTGTCTGCAGCGGCTTTGGGGCTACAATGGTGGAGGTCTAGTAGTCACAAGAGACCACAGAGCCCAAATGCTTACTGCTTGTCCCTTTACAGAAAAAGTTTGCCACCCCAGGGTATAGGGAAAGTATTATCTGAAACATGGGAAGAGGTGGTGGTTTTTTTGCAAATAAGTTTTTAAGGTTCATAGTGTCACTAGACGTTAGGAGGAAGAAATTTGAGCAGACAGGCACCTTTATGGTGACACATTCCCATGTCGGGCTCTAGCCTTAGGATGGAGAAAAATCTAACCTAAGCCCAGATTTTCTTTAAAACTCTGCTGGAGGAACCCCATTTCCTCCTCCAAACCCAGAAGACCAGAGCCCTGGGCCCCAGGCTCCTCACCACCAGCCGCTTCACAGACCTGCACTCCAGCTTCTTGCCTCTGAGCCTTTGCTCTTCTCAGTCAGCAACTCACTTCCAATGTTCAATTTTTATTCCTCATTCAAGGCACAGAGAAAATACCACCTCCTCCAGAAAACATTCCAGGATCTCCTTCTTCGGATTCAAAGTGTGTTCCCCTACAACTCAGGACTTTCTGGCCATGATTTCTGCAAGTCACCCTACAAGTTGCCAGGAAGCTGCTTTAGGATCCCGGGGGTGCTGCATCTCACCCAGGCCTGGTTCATCAGAGTCTCGGATGAGGCCTCCAATCTGCATTTCGAACAATCATTTCTGGGTGAAGCTGAGGCACCGGGCACCACAAAGACAGACTACCCCTGTGCCAGTGAAGGGATTTACTGTTTTACGACAACGGAAAAAACGACCCCTAGGCTGCCGTGGAGTTTCTGCCATGTGAAGGACACAGCTAGTCAGGGCCAAACACGAAGCTGGGGACGTCTGTAGGAGCAGTCCCCAACCTAAACTAAAGGGCCAGAAGCACTTCACCGCACATGGGAGGGGCTACGAAGAAGAGCCCAGGCAGAGAGCAGAACAGGCACAAATCCGAGCCACACCGCAGCCCCAGGAATCCTCCGAGAACAGCAGGGACCTGATTGTGGGTGGGGGCCAATGTAGTCAAGGTCAGGGCAGCCCAAGGGCAAACCGCCCCACCCTGGGCCAGGAGGCAAGGGCAATCCTGCTCAGAAAGGACCACTTTGGGGGAACTGGGGAAGGTGACCTTAACCCCAAAACATCCTCTAAAGGCACTCCGACAGGCTGTGGCCTGACTCCATGGTCGGTGCGTCTCTGCTGTTCAAGCTGCCGCGTCGGCTCCAGTGACCGGCCAGCCCAGGGCAGGTCTGCGCACGCACCTCGGCCTCTACGGGCTCCCTTGGTAGCATCTGAGCCATCTGTGCCCAAATCCCGGCCTGTGGACCCGCCCTTCTCCCCACGGGGCCGGAACAGGGCCGTTCACCCATCATCACTGTGTCCCCAGCACCAACTTCCACTTAGCAATTAATGAATGACTTAAAGGCACTGTTTACAAATGCTATTCTTCAAGAATTTTATTAGACTAGAAATAAGAAGTCTTTCTGCCACGTTGATTTTAACTGCAAATCAGGGAAAGGACTTTTTTGGGGGGGTGGGAGGTAAAGATTAAAAGCACTGGGTAGAGAGGACACAGAGTCAAATGTGCATGAATTTTCCAGACAAAACCAGACAACTCCCCCAGGTCCCGGGGGCTAGCAATCCTCCCTGGTATCATGAGGAAAAATGTCTTTAAAAAGTTTAAAAGGGGGGGTGGGCCCCTACAAGCAGCACCTGAAGGTAGGAAATGTTATCTCCCCAGAACTGACTCATTTAATGAAAATGAGTAAAACAAACAGTTCGCCAACACAGAAAGTGCCGTGTGTGCCTGGCTTCCTCGATCTACCAAGAAAACAATTCAGTTCATGCAAAACTTTTCGCTATCAAATAAATATATCCTTGAGTCTAAATGGCAGCCCAATTTTAAAATAATCTCTAAGAAACAGAGAACAGATTTCACCTCAAGGAGCTATAGTTTTAAAATTGAATCTGCCATCAGGAATGTATATCCCTAATTCCCCTAAAGAAAAGCAAAACACAGTTTGTCAAAGGCAACTCAATTAAGAGTTGCCTAGCTGAAGGAGCTAACCTAGGGCAGCCTCAGCGGAAAGATGGCAGGTGCCCAGGGCGCAGGGGGAGTGGATGAAGTGCTCTAACCACGACACTGCTCAGGTGTCGTGCACTTCTTAGAGCATCCCATCAGGAAGGAGGTCTGCCCGGTTGTCCCACGAGGTGGGACAACTGCTCAGGTGTCGTGCACTTCTTAGAGCATCCCATCAGGAAGGAGGTCTGCCCGGTTGTCCCATGAGGTGGGAAAGCTCAGTTAGGGCAGTAACTGCTGGAAATCTCCATATAAAAAGGACCTTTTTCCTTTTGTAATTAATAAATTACCTATAGGGTGATTCTTAGACTATGTGAATATTATATTACCACTAGCTTATTAACATTCTTACATAGGTTTAAAAACTACATTTTTCCATTTGATCATTCTACCCGCATTTAATTAGTGGCCTTTTGTAAAGAAGAGCTTGCCTTTTTGTTCAACTTTGTCTCCCTCTTTTCTTTTTTGAACATCACTGGAGATGCATGAATTCCTTTTTTATTTAG